CCCGGTGTCAAACATGTCAGTTGAGTAGCTTACCTGAGATCTGTAAGAGAACATAGGCCCTCAGATATTTTCCCACAGAAAGGAACATGCAGTAGACACAAAAAAAATGCAATTTTAAAACCTGACTTATTTTCGAATTAACAGAAAAAGTACCGAGCCAGCCTTTGTAAGTGGCACAACTCAGTGCATTCAGATTCTCCTTTCTTTTTGCCAGTCTAAAGTTTAAATAAAAATCTTTGCCCTTGCTTAGGATGTATGAGAAGGACACTAGAAGTGGGTCTTTCATTTTAAGCACTGACAAGATATTGAACCCTGTGGAAGGATAGATTTGATAATATCATTGAAATGCACATCCAAATTATAGTTTGGGAATGGTAATATGTTCAGTATAGTGTCTAAGTCTTGCATCCATTGACATAGAGGATAGTTTAAAAAGTTCACAGTGAAAGAGAATAATATTGAATAATTCCTAGACACAAATACACAGGTAACTAGGGGGGTGGGGGGAACCTGTGTAACTGGTAGATTGAAAAGGCACAAGCTGAAAACTCAAATGACAGTGTAAAACAGTCCCTGTAGCTTAATTAAATAAAACCAATAATGCGATTTAAACTTCTTTGAGTTAAAATTACTTTAATAAGGGTGTTAATTACTAGAGGATTAACACTGCTTACATGTGATAATAGATGTGGTCAGTCAATAAAGGGTGAGAATAATGTTCGTTTAAGAAGCAAAAGAATCTAGCACAGGATTACTCACCAGAAAGGGATAACATTTCAAAGTGGCTAGTAAAATCAGGGGAAGAGGTTTTCAAATTGCAGGAGGCATTAGAGGCTGAATTGTGCCATCATTACTCAGCAAAAGTTCCATGTATATTGGGATCTGCTGGAGCTAAAATATGAAGAGTAATTATTACAAATAACATATTACGTAGTTTGGAATTATTCTGTTTTCCAGAGCAATTGTAACAAATACTTTTTCAGATGAAATATTTTAAGAAAATATTGTCACCTGAGAAGTGAGGAGAAAAGGCATATTCCAAAGGGAAACAATCAACTTCTAAGGAGAATAATTTATTGAAGATGTGTTTCTTAGAAAAGAAGTAACATTGGCCTATTGACATTAAGCAGAAAGGGTTTTTCCTAATGCATTTGCAAACATAGCAGCAGGAGAAGAAAGATCTTTTGCAAAAAGCCAACAAAAAACAAATTCTGAGCTCTCCAGGTTTCTTGTTACTGCAACTTACTGGGCTCAGAAGCCTTTGCTAAACCAAGTTACCTAGACAAGAAAAACAAAAACAAGTACCAGAATTTTATATGGGCTGTAGTATTTTCTAAAACTGCTATTTTTAGAGTCATTTGATAGATGTAAATGTGGAAGTAAACATCTTGTAGTAGCTGAAGAAGAAAGTGAAGGTTGTCCGGGAAAGAATATGAAACTTTTGTCTAGTGATTTTGGCTTTGCTTTTAACTTGTCTATATTTACATTCCTGAGCTACTGATTGTGGAATTCCTTGTCCAGTGGTTCCCAGGTCTAGTGTAGCTTTCCCTAAGGGATGTAACTTCATCTGCTATGAAGGATGGTTATGCAGCCATACCCTGAATGCACTACTTTGGAAGAAATAACTATCTGTTTACAGTAAACTCATGATGAGCACATCTGTGTCTGTGCCTTATGGAGTGCATTGGATTTTTGTTTCTGGATGTAGACAAAATGATGCTGGTTTCTGGCCTATTATGTCTTAGATTTCAGTGGCTTTCCACGTATTCTAACTCAGCACCCAAGATCAGCTGAGATACTTTATTGAACAGTTGCCATATTTGTATCTGCTTCCTGCAGAGGCTTTTCAGGGAAATACCTGGTATGTAAAATGCTGAGGGCTTTGATGGCCACCTAAGCGAAGAATCCGGAGCACTGAGACTGTGATTTTTTTATTTTAGATCTGCAGCTTTTTGAGAACTGCACAAATCTTAAAAATAAACCAAACCAAAAAGTTATAGATTAAAAAATAATTAGACTGTTGTGTTGAAACAAACTACTTTCCCCTACCTGCTGTAGAACCCCAGGTTACCTCAGTGGAGATGATGTGTTTCATAGTGCACACTAGAGATCATGGACCTCTGTGGAGACCAAACACTGCAGATTCAAGAGATGCTCATAAACCTTATAGACCTGATGTATATCCTCCTGTTAGATTGGAAGCCTCAATCTGTAATAATGTAATTTCAGTATTTTTCTTAGATGTAATTTCCTCTGGTGTTTTGGTCCGAGTCAGAATATGACAAGAAATAACTGAAAAGCTAGGAGAAGGAAATATCCTGTTCTACCACTGAATCGCTAATTCCCAGTGGCCAAGTTGGTGGCTTCCTGGGTCAGTTCTGTGAGCTGCAGCTTCACACAAAGAGCTGAAGTCTTCACCTCCTCTGTGAGCACAAGGCTGATGCCATGGAGCCGTGCCATGCTGACTTGTCTTCCCATAGCCATCAGTTTACATTCGCACACCAGGGCCGTGTATCTAAAACTCCTTCCTGAAATCCTAGAAGTAATCAGACTGAAATTTAAACTTGGAGTTGTAACTATACTTGGGCAGACCACTACGGATGTCTAGTTCTAGGGTACAGTAGCCTGACTTTATAGATTAGATGTGTGTGTATACAAGGACAGTTTGGGTTAGTTAGTTCAAAACAGCATTTGTCAGATAATGACTTTTCGTGGTATGGTATATATACTGACCTCTGGTGACACTGCAGGCATCTGGAGTTACTCACATGAATACTGCTAAATATTAAATATGACAGATGGGACAAGAGTGTTCAATTCCAGAACACAGCATGGAAGTTGAAGTGAACGTGTTTTGTGTTTAAATTTTATTCCAATTACACCAAGTTAGATGATTTTTAAGTAGTCCCACCTTCTCTAAACCAGAGAAGGTGGTTAAAATCTAGTTTTAACATTAGATTTTGAAATTTTTGAATACATCTCTTTAGTGAAACACCTCAAATGGATTTTTACAGGAAGGATTGAGACAAACAATACAGTTTTAATCCCCAAGAAACTTATTTTAAGGTACTGTGCCACTTCACGTGCTATTTATGGCATTATTTCGTAGATAAGCAAATAGTTTAAAGCAAGCCAGTTATAAGTCTCATGCAGTTGAAAAAACTCCTTATACAAAATTTAAGTTTAAATAAACTAAACTGTAAAAATTGCCTCTTCAGTTAATAATGGTTTTGGTAAATTTCAATGTTTAAGTACTACTGACAAACCTGTGTTTAAAAAAAACCCAGAAGCCAAATGAAAATGACAGCTTAAATTTAACTGTGCTATACTAAATGCTTCATAATTTTAACAGCTGAAATTGTGTATTCAAAGTCTCATTCAGGTCGGAGGCAGATGTCCTGTTTTGGGGGGTTGCACTTGTCACCCCTGTGTGCTGTTTGAGCGTGTATGCCTCTGCATCAGAAGCTCAAAAACAAAATAAATGGTGAATGACCTGACAATTGCATAATACACAATTTTTAATCCACACAAATTTTACCATTGACACAGTTTTATGCTTTGTCTAAAGGGACTTCGTGTACGGGCTAACAGGCTTGACAGGAGCAATTTGGCCCGAGCCTGTGCCCTCTGGAGCCTGACTGTCTGCCAAGCTCCTGCTTTTCAAACTCTTCCCTGTTTCTAGACTCAAAAGACGGTTCTTTTGCTACTAGTCCAGCTTATTCTTTAATGATGAAGAAGAACACACTTCATAATAAACATTTGCACTGTAATTAAACAAATCTTCTTTGAAGAGGTATTACTTGTTGCTATATTGTGTATTGCATAGGGCCTAGCTATTTATATTTGCCTCAGTGACTATTTTTCAGTGACTTTCTTCGGATGTTACATCTTGGGCTGCTTGAAGTTTTAATGGGATTTGTAAAAATTATACATTGTGAGTGTTCTTCTGGTTATGGTAACAGCAACAAGCTTGTTCACATGACTTCAACAGCAAGTGTTTTAGTTTGTAGGCAGGCCTAAGTTCATTTGAAGTGCCAAAGAATAAAAAATGTATTTGGGCTTGCTCATGAATATAACAAGACCAGACACCTCTCAGAGTGTACCTCAAGGTCCAGATTTTTAGGAACAAATTCTGCCCTTTCAGAGAATTTAGGTTATAAAGGACTTAATTGAACACAAGTAACTTCTGGTTTTTTCTTAGCATAACAGTAATTCCCAGTGGTTCAGCTGTCATAACCTCTGAGTTTATACATTATACACTTACAAATGTGTTAAAGATTGTATCCCAACATTCATGGTAGTGACAGATATGATTTTCACTTATAAATTTGAAACAGATGGAAGCGTTTAAATATAAAACTTTTTCATTCTTGTGAACATTTAAATGTCCCCAATTTAGGCACAATTTCAAAATGCATAGTGCTTTAAAAAAAAAAAAAGACACGTTTTAATGCAGTGGCTTAAAAACTGAAAGACACTGCCTTTCTAACACAAACTATCCTTCCTTTGAAAATCCAGGGCTCAGTTTTCAAAGCATTGCCTAGGAATTTAGCCTGCGACCCCCATTGACACTAATGGGAATTGCATAGCTAAGTCCCCATAACATCACTTTGAAAATGCATTTGTTATACCAATCCAGAAACAGAGTAGCATAAACTATAGGGAGACATTCACAGATCGAGAGATCAATTTACACTTTGAAATACAAGACCAATGTGTGTTATTCCAGTTATGTGATCAGTAGGGGGAATTTTAAAATTCACCACACTCACAAAATAAGTCACCAGGAGTAAACAAAACAAAATATTTTGGCAAGTGGCAGGCAGACTTGCTAACCAGGCTAACAAGATACTTGTCAGCAGTAACGAACACCAACTGATTAAGTGATAATTGCATTTGGTTGGCGCAGTGTTATTTTATAGTTAGCAAACTCTTTTTTCCTTGTAAGCTGGACTTAGATACCTATATTTTAAATACTTCTGTTGTTCCTTTGCGTCCAGGAAATGTTTAGAGTGACCAAGATTTGTCTTTGTCCAGTTCTGATTCTGGTCCTTCATGTTTTAGTTCCAATCTAGTAAGTGTTTTCATGGTGTGCATGCTTTAATACACAGGGAGATAACATTTGGGGAATTAATGGGGGTGTGATCTTCATGTTCATGCGGGGGGTTTTTTTGTTAATTTGCTGGAAATAAGTGTATACCTGTGTAACGTATATTCGTGTGTACTTGTGCATGAAACATAAGCAGAGACTAAAAAGAAAGTGTCATTGTTTTGTAGCTGTGTTACTGCAGTGCCTATGAGTCCCAGTCATGCACCATGGCCCCGTTACGCTGGGCAGAGCATAAATAAGTGTTTTCACAAAAGGAAGGCAGCGCTGCCTCAGAGTTCGCAAACCGATGAGATTATAGCTCCAGTGAAAGGTTAACGTTATGTCAGAAATTACGAAACAGCAATGATTCTGGTTGACAGGCTTCCTCTTCGGTCATCAAACCCGTTTATTCTTCTGAATAAAAGGTGTACATAGGTACAGTGTGAGCTCCTTGGGTGGGAAATGAGGAGTGGGCCATTTGTGAGTGGCTTTTGTGAGCTTACTGTGTTTAAAATGAAAAAGTTCTCTTCATCTTTGGAGCTTTTCAGCTCCAAACCCAATACAAATAGTAATAATTGATCTGTTAATATATTTGCTATTCCTTTGTTTTAATGACTTAAATGATACATAGCTAACAACAGTCGCGGGGCTTTTTTTCTAGGTCAAAAGTCACACATCCTCAAGGAAAAAATTGCAATGTTATTTCTGTATTCTCTCCTAAGAAAAGATTTTGCATAGCTTGCAGTTGTATATGCTTGGCACCGTTCATTTCCCAGAAGAGTTCACCAGTATTCTAGGCTTTGGGATTTTTTTAATTAAAGAGGTCAAAATCCATTATATCTAAATTTCAAAGAATTTACCAATTAGCTGTAGTCTGCGATGCCCAGCAGGTGGCTTTTATACTATTAAAGGGAGATTGTTTCCATCTCCGATCAAAGCAAGAACAAAACAAAGGAAAATATAGAATATTTTGCTGTACACAGTGCAAACCACATGCTGTGTAAATTATAGGTGAAAACTGTATATGAGAGACTGTTCAGTCGTACCACTTCAAGGAAAAAATCTATATATTTTCACACTGTTTCCCATAAGGATTTTAATGGTAATGTTTAAATCTGTTTAGATTACTGATTAGGTAGGAAGATTAGACAGCTTGCTATTTCCTAAAATGAAGATTGTAGCATTTTCTTGCTTAAAAGTAAAATTAAAAATACACAATTAAGTAGATCAATGAATTTGCTAAAAGTAAAATTAGAAAAAGCTGGGTGTGCTGGAATGTCACAACATGCAAAAAAGTTCCAATTTGCACTTTTCAATGAATCTAAACTTCTGCGATTTTTACCTACTTAAAAGAATGTTTGTGACCTTTTGACCCTTTTGTTATCCCTTACCCAGAAAGGCCTTTATTCTGTAAGGCTTAGGTATAAAAAAATAAAAAGAGCGTTAATGGCATAACAGTCCTTTCTGATCACCCTGTGTAAGATGTTTATGCAAAGTGTCAATAGAAGCAATTGGCCTAACAGTGTGACAACCTGCTTTGCTTGGAAATGGGCTAATCTCCTGTTTGGGTTATCCAGAGGTCAGGTAAGGATTTCTTTTTTTGCACTCCCCGTAGTGCGTGGGTGCATAACCTGCAAACACTACAGGGCAGAAATCAGAAGCGACTGAGCCCAAGAATGCCATAAAGCTTTTTTTTTTTTTTTTTTTTTAATCTTGCCCTTTTTGCTTTTCCTGATTTTTTTTTTTCTCTGCCTTCTTTTAATTTTCCACTTCCTGGTCCCACCCCAGAGAGTCTACTTGAGCGTATAACACATAACAATGACAGGGACTCTACCAATATCATTACCTGCTGCCTCATTTTGTTGGGGTTTTTTTTTCCAAACAGGCATCATCCCACTCTTTTTTGAAGTTCACGTGGAAACCTAGTTTAAATCTCAGTTTTTGAGGGCCGCCCCTGTTGCCCTGTCACAGCAGGCTGGAACTCAGTAAGCGCTCAGGCAAGCATAGCGGGCCAGGCAATGGGCCTTGGCGGGCTGCATGCTGTGAACTCTGGCCTCACTGAATCAGCTTCTGTGTGTTTTTATAACTGCCTTTTTTTTTTCCCTGTTAATTATGCCCCAAGGCTGTGGAAAGACAGCATTTATCTGTTTCAACAGACTAAGCAGCAAGTGTTCTGACATGTTTATCAGGCAAATTGTACCTGACAAAAGGTAATTACACATGCAATCAAGTCCAGAAGTAACTGGGTGATTAGGGGTTAATAAACTGTTTAGCATGAGAAATATTCAGCTTGTGAGCAAGGAGAGTGGGCCAGAAGGACATAACTGACAGTGATACATTAAAAGAATTACTTTTCTTTTGATGGAATATTTGGATTTACAGATAGGTAAGCAGGATATTAAGTGTACAACTCCCCATTTTTATCTCCAGCCCCTGAATCACTGGTGCCTAGTTGTACAACCAAAGCTATTTGCTGACGCTCTTGGTACTTCGGAAGAGATAACGGCACCATTCCAACTTGTACTAAGCTACCTTGGTAATTTAAAATCACATTTTTTTTTCTAGTATAACCAACATGCTTAGTGTTGTCTAATGGACACTGCCCCCATTTCCTCCTGTGAAGCCCTTCTGCTGTCTCTGTGGATAGCTAGTTCCCAAAGTTGCATTCTTTTCCAAGATTATTCCTGACAGTTGCCCAAAAGTAAAAAGGAAAGGGCATCTGTATGATATTTGAGGATGTGACAAGAGGTTGAAACAGCACTGAAAGGGCCAGATGGTCGATTCCAGCAGTTCCCAGTGCACAAAATTCTCACGTAATTACAATACAGCCTAAATACAGGACTACAGCTGAGCTACTCGGGACGTTAGGTAATAATAGACACAGCTTTACTGAGCAATGATTGCCATTAATTTCTATCCAAATATGCCCACATCACCTAGATATTGGGAAAAAGCAAGAGTTCTGAACTTGAAGAACAGGTGCAAGTGCCATATTTGAAACCCGAATTCTGTCCCTAAAATCTTAAGACCTTTTTTTCCCCTGTGGCATCAATATTGTAATGTTTTGTGTTAGCCAAACCTGTTAGCTATCATTGTATTAAAGTAGGACCTCTTTTAACTGAAAAATAGTTCAGTATCTTTTACAATGAGATTGTTGTGTTTAAAAGTCTTCTAATTAAAAACAGCAGCATTATCTGCATAATGTAGGAGATTACTATAGCCTTTTATATAAGTATATATAAACACCTTTTTTTTTCCAAGTGGTGTTTATTTTGAGCTGAAAGAGCTTATGTTAGACACGTAAAAGGCATTTAGAAAATACTTAGACAGGAACAAAAAGTTAGAAAATCAGCATATTGTAGGGCATCATTCAAAATGCAAGTGTAGAACAACAACCAAAGGCCTCAAGTTATCTGTAATGTTAGAAGTATATACATGACTGGCGATGTGGTGGTTTGAGAGGACAACACTGTTTCATACACAGTAAAAGGAATATGCTGCTCTCTGATCATCAGCCCTGATGGTTCCAAGATGTTGAATAAAGGTTCCCCTTCTATCACACCTTTAGAAGAGGCAAATCCTCTAAATAAGGCAGAAGTGTATACCCTATCTATCTTGTAAATGTAAGTAAGTGGACAGTCTATTGAACACTCCATCTGGTATACTAGAAAGGATAAAGCTTTTCCCATGTTCCTTTCTTTTTTGGTAACGATTCATACACACAGATGCATACACTTCTCTGCAAACTCTTTTGTTAATTATTCCTAGTCAGAAGGGCTTGAAGATCTGTTCCCTTGCTCCTAGGGAAACATACTCTGTTTCATTATAAAATTCTCAGGTATAGCATTGCCTGTCTTAGCTTATTCTTATTTTTCATGGTTGTTATGGGATAAAGAGAGTACAACAGTGCCATTGTTCTTGCATAGCAGAGTACGTATATCTAGTTTATTAGGTGCTTCACAGTGTTTCAGCTGCACGGTAAGCTGGTTCTGACAGAGCACCCTCGGGTGGCTCCTTAGGTGGGGCTGTGCGGCTGACTAACAGCTAATGGTCTGCACTGCCTCCAGATTCAGAGTAGTGGGAGAGATTGCCTTTCTGACCGGTTTGAAGTGTTTCCTGGACATGTTAACTTTGGAAAGATGTGCAAAAGAAACGTTTTTCCTATTGTAATTTCAAGGCAAACAATGCACATTCTGACCTTGAAGAAGTCACAACCAGCAGCGCCAGTGTGATGTGCTACACTGTGTGGATTTTGATTGATTTTTGAGGCAGGAAAATATTTATTGCCAGGACCTACTCTGTGCACATATTTCTCTTACTACAGTGCATGTCAGTGTGGACCATTCCTTGCTGGACAATACATCTCATTTTCAGTTATTGTCTCGGTAATAGCAACAGTTTTAGTGGATAAAATAGTAGTAAGGAAATGTTGCTTTAACTTGACCTTTAATAAGCTGATTCTAGTTGCCACAGTAAGAACTACTGTCACAGAACCAGCAAATTCTCCTGTACTTCATGCTTCACAACTGAGAAGTCGTGGGGTGAGCTCACCTGAACTTAATTCCCCTAAATGTTTTTTTTTAATTGTAGCAGATACTCTTTTTGGCAAAATTAACGCTTTTATGATTAGACTTGCCCTTGATACAATTTTTCTTTTTCCACATTAGTAGTAATCACAGTTTTTAAAACTGCAGAGATTTATTTCAGTGGAACTTAACATATCCCACATATTACATCTTTGTAGTATGAGTCACATCAGCATGTCAAGCCAAATCCACAAAGTATTTCCATTATATCTTTACCTTGAGTACCGTGTAACATTACCAAAGGCTGTTCCCTCTTCTTGTGGTTTTGCACACACCTAGTCCCTGTCACATTATAGCATCATTTTAATATGCATCTATTGTGAATGAAAATACAGCAAAAATATAGGGAAAAAGTTGTAGGGTTTTTTTCTCCTCTGTTGAAGAGTCGGCCAAGTTTTCATTATGAATTTCGTGTAGCTATCTGTTTGCATGAATTAAAAACCAGACTTTTTGCATCTTCATGTTCTTCTCTTATTTTCAATAATCTTTGTGTATAAATTTTAAGATAACTTTATCCTTTACTAAAATAAAAATCATCTACCAAAGGATTAGGTAGGCCAGTGCTTCGTTACCAGCTTTGTCTTCCCAAGAGTGTGTTCAAATCACATGAAGTAGCCCAAATATTTTTCTGCATCTTTGAATGGATGGGCTATCTTCCAGATCATATGCTTGTGGCCAAGACAGTCCCACTTTAATAGAGGTCTTTCTATAGGAGGAAGAGGAATTTAAGTGCTTCGTTTATATAAGGCATACATTTTTGTAGCAAAAGGCAGCGTAAATCAGAAAAGAACAGAGTAGCAGAAGTTGAAGCAGATTGTAGGGTCGATACCTCTGCAGCGTGGCTGCAGGAGTGAAGGTGAATTCAGGGCTGCGCTCGAAGGAAGCTTTGTATGGGTGGGTTGAAGTTATTTCCCATACACGTGTGATGGTCCTGGGACCAGCAGCTCATTTATGCTAGACTGTCCTTGCTGCCGTTGGCTGCTCGCCAACCTGCTCCCCTTGCAAAGTGCCTGCATTGACTGAACATCCGCCAAGTGCCAAGTCAGATGCAGGTGATATGAATGGCCAGGACACGGATCCAAAGAGCTGCACACCAGGCAGCTCTTGCCCACCCACAGCGTACAGTATGTGCTGTCAAAGCCCATTATGTACAGCAATATGCCACAGCACAGAACTGTGGCTGTGAGGGGGACAAAACGCACAATGCATAATTGTGCACAGCAGCAGTCCGGTCTCCAGCAGTGTCTGCAGCTCCGTCGCGTTTACTCCAGCAGCAGGACATGTTTGTCACACTGCAGCCCCCGAACACGTGCGCAGAAGGAGGGAAGGGAGCTATGATTGGGTGGCATGTGTCATTTGATTGCATGTCCCTGGTCCTTCATGTTACCTGCCACAGGTCATGACAGCTGCTTTAACTTAGGAGATTTATTAGCATGAGGCTGGTTGCGTGCAGCTCTTTGACCAAGTGTGTAGCAGGGAAGGGGCTCTGGGTATATACCCCTTGCCGATAGTGTCTCTCAGAGTGTTCACTCTTCAGAGCCAGGACTGTCTTGGAGAGCACAGAATATGCTTCATGTTCTTTTGGGACATTGTTTTACCTCATGTGTTGAAAAGCAACAGACTCCATGGTCTGTTTAGAGCCCTACATGCCTACCTGTGTTTGGTCAGGTGACAAATGAGGTGTAATCTTCCACCCCAGCCATCACTATCACTGAGATGCCCAGAGCCACGACACAATCAGGCGGTTGATTCAAGCACTGGAAGTATGATATGAAAATCGCTCATGCAATATTGGCAGGAAAGTTTGTTTGAACTTGTCAGCACTGTAATTGTATCAGTCATCGATGGCTTTGGGCTGCATATTGCTAACAGGATACAGAGCTTCAGGGTTGTTTAGGATTTACCCAGAATCCTCAATTTCAGTGTTACAATAGGGATAAGAAATGAAATCTTTCACCTTTGATTTACTGGACACAACTGCTGCAGGAGCATTGGCATGGTCCTTTCTTAAGGACCATCTCCCATGTGGAGCCCATGACAAGTGGGATTGTAATCAGCAGTAATTTATTAATACATTGTGTTTGCTTCTCTGTAAGAGAGAGGGAACATGAAGTCTCCAGATTATATAGTTTGGGTTCCTGTGGCTGTCAGCTTTATCCTCCCAACTTGTGTTGTGCGCCTGCTTGCCCTGTCTTGCTGCTCTTTTGATCGTGCTTTTGAATATATCATACAGCCTCTATGAGGACTGGGCACTACTGACTGTTCTAACACAGGTAATAAGAAATGATGAGTAACATGCAGCAGCAGCTGACGCTGTGGGTTTCACAAATGCCACTAATTCCTGAGTTATCAGAGCCTTCCCAAGTCTGTTTGCTTAGTGACTAAAGGCATGTTCTCTCCAGGTCAGCAGGAGAATTGATGGTGCCCATCCTGAGAAAGTGCTTTGTGAGAAAGAATTATTTGTATTTGACCTTGAAGGCTATCATGGATATGTAGCCAATAGAGAATGAAATAGCCTCCTTGCTTTTTATATACCTTTCACCCAAATGAGATAGTCAGATGTAAAATCTAGATGTCACTGAGGTTTGTAATGGTCCCTGGAGGACTTTGGAACGACAGAGCAGTAACTGTGTCAGAGGTCCGTTATAAAGCCAGGAAATGTTACTACGTATTCATAAAAGACTATACTACAAATATAGAAGGAGAAATTAATTAATTAGAAAATAATTTAAATTAGACACTTTGTTTGAAAGTAACATAGGAAAGGGGTTAGGAAGTAGAAAAATTGGGAGAGAAAAAGCATATAAATTTGAAGCTGTGAAGACCGGGTGTATGCTTTTATTTTGTAATTAAGTTGGTGTTATAATTTTGGGGATGAGCATTACTGGAGATCTGTGACGTTTTATCAGACTGAGAAGTTTGAGTAAGGCAAGGCTGTCAGAGGTGCAGCCCTGCCTTTAGCCGGCGCCTGCTGCAGCTCTGCCTGCGGGAGCAGGGACTGCTGCTGTTGTGCCCCGGCTGTAACAGCTCTGGTCAGGGCTTAGCAGAAACAAACGTTTAAAGTGAAAAGGGTTCTTTATTTAAATAGCAAAATGGTACGACCTGCAGTAGTCTGTTATGCTTCTTAAAGTGGTCTTTTTTATACAGAAAATCCTGTTCCATCCCACCTTTCCAGGCCTTACCGATGTAGCAAGGCCTCCAGGCAAGCAGGGGCTCTTAAGTTACAGTGAGGACCCAGCTCAGGGGAGCAGCCGTGGGCACCACGAGCCAGGGCAAAGTGTTGCTGATGGTTCCCCATGCTTATTTTAACCGTAGGTTTGGCAAACAGTCGGCAGCCTGAGAACAAGCCCGTGTTAGCCCTCTGCAGCAGGATGAGGCCAGGCATCAGACGCGGGGGGAAGCTGGGGCACCCCCCATTGACGTCAATGGGAGTGGGCCCTGCCAGCCTGCAGTAGCTGTGGGAAAGGTTCCACCGAGCAGGACCGCCTGTGCCCTGGCCCTGGGCAGCCTGGGCAGGGTGCCCGGCAGTGCCCGGCCCACACCCGTGATGGCAGAGGGGGAATTAAGCTTTGAGGGCTACGAGGTTACTGGCTGCTGGAGGTTAGGCATCGCGTCTGCTTGTAAATGCAGGCTGTTTTGTTGAACAGCAGCTCCGAAGTGGCGAGTCAAAGGCCTGATTCGAAACTGCGGCCAGACACAGGACTGTGTCGGGAGGCTTTTTGTTCCCCCATTTAAGTGTTCGGGGTGTGTTTGGGCCAGAATTGTGCCCAGGGCTTGGGGCTGAGTCACGGGGATCAGTCACCACGGAGAGTGCAGCAGGGGTTGTTTAATTCACTTAATTGAGACTACCTGAACCTCTGGTTTAAATTACCGTGAGCAGCAACAGACACGAACATCCCCTTCTGCCTCCCCACGGTAAAGCAAGCTCCTGAAACAGCAAAGTGCGAAGCCATTAGCATCCCCTCCTAGGGCCGAACCTGCACGGCTGCCTCCCAGCGCGCGGAGGGAGGCGAGAAGGCACTTAAAGAAAGAAACGGGCAAGTGAAGGGGCTCCCGGCGAGAGGCTGCGGCCGGGCCCGGGCCGGGCGGCCGCCTCCTCCTCCCCG